ATCCCTTGTAAATTTTCCCCATAAATTAATAATAATAAAAATTATTATATTAATAATTTTTTACATTTGTTATAAAATCCACAAAAAAAACGAATGTAAGCCTAAACGTTCGATTATCGTACATATATTGATGCTGTTGTTGTAATTTTCGTTTTGTTACAAAAAGAAAAAAAAAATTTCTGTTGTTTAATTGTTTTCAATTGTTTTGTTTAAATAATTAATCATTTGTGAAATAATAAAAAAATTTATTTAAACAATTTGTTGTTGTTTTTGTTTTTACCCGATTCAGAACCATTTTCTTGTAGTGGTAAGAAAAACATTATTATTATTATTATTATTATTTGAGATTCAGTTACGAATCACGTAATTTAAAAAATAATAATAATAATGACGGAAGAAGTAGTAGATGGATTAATAATAAAAATAGTAAAAAAATTATTTATACATAATAATAATAATTAATGGATTTGATTATTACGTAAGAAAATTATTTACGGAGTAAAATCGAGTTTTTATTATTTATTACTTGTAATAAATGATTAAATTATTACCATCACCACCACCACCAACTCCGCCACCGCCACCACCACCACCAACCTTTTTTAAAATTAATTAAAAAAAATTTTTGTTATTAAGTTACAAAACATTAAATAGCATCCAATGAGTTTTAACAAGCAAAACCTAAAATTAATTATTATTATTATTATTATTATTATTATTATTATTATTATTATTATTATAACTACTTGATAAATTTGAGTGATAAAAAAAAGGAAGGGGTGATAATGGTTTTTGTTATTAAATATATTAATTTTTTATCAATTATGAAAGATTTAGAAAAATTCGAATACGTGGCAGAAGAAAAGGTGGCCAAAGTCGTTTTAAAAAAATATCGTCTGATTGGGAAAAATTGATCGTGATAATTTATTTATATCGATTTTCGAACGATTTCGAATTTTAAAAAAAAATTGATTTTGTTATATAAGAAGAAATGAATCATAACAGTTTGATTTCAAAGAAAAAAATATTACTATTATTATTATTATTGACGCGTGACGTTAAAAAAATTTGAGGAAAACGTTTTTTTTGTTTTATATAAATCATTTAATTTTCCTTTTGTTTGTTTAAATAATAATGATAATAATAATGATAATAAGTTTCCAAAGCTCGATATGAATGTGGCAAAATAGGGAAAAAGAAAATCGGGGAAGAAGAAAGAAAAATAATTCGTACAAGATCGTATTAAAATACAATTGATTATTTATCTATTGATTTATAATTAATAAATAAACTTATTTAAACGAAGGATTAATTAATTAATATAAGAAAAGATATTATTATTTTTACAAGAAAGCAACGACATCATATCTTTCTCTCTACAAAATTTAAAAAACAGGAAGTGGTTAAAATTTTCCATTTTAATTTGAAGAAGTATGAGAAAGTTTAGGGAGAGGAGAGGGGGTAAATTAAATTTTTCTTAAGTACACTTCATTGATCATACGGATCTCAAATGCTCCACTCTGTAAAGAAAAAAAGAAATAATAATAATAATAAAAATAAGGAAAGAAAAAAATATTAATATTCAGGAAGAGGAAATGAATCGAGTAGAAGTAGGAAAGGACGTGGAAAAAGAAAATCTTCATTTAATAACTGTCCCTACGAATCCAATGAAATTTAAAGTGGATAAATTTTATCGATTATATAAATTAGTATCGATTAAAAAAATTAATGAATAATAAAAGCATAGATTAATACAAGTAACGGTTTTTTTCCCCTTTTTCAACGATAATAAGTTAAATATAGGAAAATATAATAAAATTTGAATTTATGTAAAATTAATTTTTTTTATTTTTTTTTTTCTTTTTAAAAATGCTCAGTTTTAAATAATTTAAGAAAATTATTTAAATTAAAAAAACAAAAAGTTTTTATCAACAACGGGTATAATAACTTGGATGTTTGGTCGTAGCTGTGAAAAACAAGAATAAAAAATTTAAAAAAATTTTTTAATAAATTAATTTTAAAAAGATAAAAATAAAATTTATTATAATTTACCAGAGTCATCGTAGTCAGCTAAACCCGGAGGAAACAATCCATACGCATTAACAGTCAAAGCCTGTAAAATAAAATATTATTATTATCAAATATATTAATATTAATATTATTATTATCAAATATATTAATATTAATATTATTATTATCAAATATATTAATATTAATATAATTATTATCAAATTAGATTTAAAAAAAAAAAAATTAAATTAAAAAAAAACTTACCTGGCAAAAAAATGCCAAAACGACAGCGAAAATAAATTTATGTAACATTTTTAATTGATAACAAATTTATAAGTGATTAAAATCGATCGTGGTATTTATATATATTGACTTTCATTCACGAACGATTTTAAATAAAAGAGAAAAAAAAACAAATGAAATTAATTAGCTTTTGATGTTAATTAATGAGACAAAAGGTAATTAAAATTCACATGTTTTTTTTTTTTAACATCATTCTTTTTTTTTTTACGTCATTCTTTTTTTTTTCTTTTTGTAAATTTTCTCATTCACCTTCAGTTTGTAATTTGATTCGTTCATCTTTTTTTTCTTTAAGATAATATTCAAAGGCATAAACATTTTGTTTACACTCATGTAAATTTTATAAAAATTAAAAAAAAAAACATTTTAATTAGTTTAATTGGTTATTTATTTATTAATAACATTTTCATCGTATCATCCGTCATTTTTTTTGTTTCCAGGTTGATGCTCACAGAAGAAGGTTCGTACCTGTTTATTAAAATAAATTTTTTAAAATTTTATGTTAATTTTTCTTTTTTTTCCCAATAAATAATCAGTAAACAAAAAAAATTTAATAATTATTATTATTATTTCTCGAATAGATTTTTATGTATGAGTTAAATCGAGTATTTTACTACTTATAACTCTCATAAATAAAATAAAATAAGAGTAACCATTTATTACGCAAAAATAAAAAAATAATGGCGGTGAAATTTTATCAAAAAAAAAAAAAAATTGCGACGTCAAAAATTTAAAAATAAAAACCGTTCGGCGAACGTTCATGTACGCATATGTTAATATGTTTAACGTAAGTTAAACATTACACAACATATCTTAATTCGCGCTATCTTTATAGAAACCTGATAAAAAAAAAAAAAAAAAAAAAATATAAACGTTTTAAAATTTTTAAAAAAATTTACCGACTTTAACGATCATCATTATTATTATTATTATTATTACGTAATTAAAAAAAAAAAGGTTTTTATACGAAAGGAGGAACAATTAATTAAGTTTATATAAACGTGGCAAAAGAAACGTGGAAACGAAATCGTAGCAAAAAAAAAAAAATTCGTTATTTTATCGTTTGGCTGAAGCAAATTTGAAAGTTAACAATTTTAACCTCCTCGAACTTATTTTTAAATAAAAAAAAAAATTTGATTTTGTCGTAATAAAAAAAGAAGAAAAAAAGGAATTATGAGTTTGTTTGTTTAATAATAATAATAATAATAATAAAAGTTAGGTGCAAATGTGGAGTAAAACAGGGAAAAGAAAATTCGTGAAAGAAGAAATAAAAAATACATTTGATCATTTATCTATTGATTTATAATTAATAAATAAATTTATTTAAAATTAAATATAAAGGTGTGTGTGATATGGAAAAAGAGAATAAATAAACAGAATGAAAAAAAATAATATTAATAATTTTTTTTTTATTTATTTATCGTTTTTTCTAAATAAGCCCCGAAATTAAATTTCAATAATTAATATTAAATCATATGATTTATTATGGGAGGAGGAGGAGGTGGGGAGGGTAAATTAAATTTTTTTTTTTTTTTTTAAAAGTTACAACGCGTAATTATGCGAAAGGGTCTCCAAGGGTCCATCCTATAAAAAAAGAAAAAATAATAATAATAATAAGAAAAGAAAAAAATATTAAAAATAAAATTTATATAAAATTTACTGTTTTTGGTCATATCTTCAACGTGTTTTCCCAAATTAGGAATATTTGGTGGTATCCAATCACACTCAACCATTAAAACCTAAAAAAAACAAAAAAAAAATTTCCACTTGTGTTTAAAAAAAAAAAAAATTTATAAACAAAAGAAATGAATTAGTTAGTATTTGTCGTTAATTAATTACAAAAGGTAATTAAAATTGACATTTTTTTTTTTTTAATTCGTCATAATTTTTTTTTTTTTAAATTAACAAGTTTTTGATTTCTGTTCAGTTTATTTAAATCGTCGAATTTTTTTTTTTTTTTTTTTTTTGTTTTTAAGGTAATATTCAAAACTAAACAAAATGTTTATGCCTTGGATAATAATAGCAACCGTTACACTCATGTACATTCTAGAAGAAGTAAGAAACACATTTTAATTAGTTTAATTGGTAATTTATTTATTAACATTTCCATCGTAACATCCGCCATTTTGTTTTTTCCAGGTTGACGCTCATAGGAATGCAAAAGACGGTTCGTAATTCATTATTGAAATAAATTTTATAAATCTTACGTTAATTTTTTTTTTATTTTTGTAAATAAAAAGGGTTACACAATCCAATAAGTTTTGATTCTAATGAAAACGGAAATGGAAAAGGAAAAGGAAAAGGAAACAGCAAAAATACAGGAAAAAGAAATGGATCCAGTAGAAGAAGTAGGAACAGACGTGGAAAAAGAAAATCTTCATCTAATAACTGTCCATACGATTTCAATGAAATTTAACGTGGATAAATTATATCGATCCAATTCGATATAAATTAATATCGATTATTTAATTAGTATCGATTAAAAAAATAAAAGCATAGATTAATATAAGTAACGGTTTTTTTTTTCTTCCCACAATGGCGACTTTTACAAGGTGAAGTCAACGCCATATTTTTTTCTCCTTTTCCAACGATAGAAAAATAATTAAATTTTCATTTGAATTTATGTAAAATTAAAATTTTTTTATTTTATTTTTTTTTTGCTTTTTAAAACTACTAAATTTAAAAAAAATTTTTAATTTAATTTAATTTAATTTAATTTAAAAATTTTTATTTACCTATCCGCCATTTTTTTTTTTTTTTCATGTTGACGCTCACAAGAATCCAAATGTCGATTAATTTTTAATAGTTTTCAAACTTTTGATTTTAAAATATAATAAATTATCCATTTTGATTAATAATTATTCATTTATTAGTAATTAATAAATTTAATAAAATAAAATATATTTATAAACACATCACGAATTATAAACACGAGGAAAAATGTAACAAGAAACCAAGGATAAAAATAAATGACGTCACAAAATGAAAATCTCCGACAGATGGCACTGACGTTAGTTTTCGTTGTTTTGTTTGTTAAAAATTTTCAATTTAACTGACAAAGAAAAACGACTTTACGATTTCCGATTAAAATTAAAAATTTTAAAAAATGTTTGAAGAAATTTTTACGTACGTTAAAGAAAGTGAGTAAAAATAATTAATTATTCTTTATAAAATTGAGTAAATTGCGTGATAATAATAAAAATAATTTGTTTTGTTTTCTGGCAAAAGTATGGCAAAGGATAATATTATTTTTTGGAGGGGATACATATGTTTTAACTACTCAAGATGATCTTCGAATTAACAAACACATAATGGCGGAGTAAATTTTTTCCGTGTTTATCATTTAAAAAAAAAAATTATTTCGTGTAATTATTATTTTTGTCATTTTATTCTTTATCATACACAAAAGTTTTTTTTGATCTTATACGCCGGAAACGAATACGAAAAACGGAAACGCGTACGTAAATATATGTCAATATAAATTTTTTTTTCTTTCTCTTCTTTTTATTTTGTGGAAAAAAAAAAAAATTTTTTTAATTGTTTTTGCTTTCCTTGTATTTCCGTTTCCGCACAAATTTTCTTTTTGGTTTTCCGTTTTCGAAGCATTAAAAAAAAGCTAAAGTTTAAAAGTTTATTATAATATAAATAAAATTGAAAAAAATTTTTAATTTACCTGTTTGTTATCATAATTAAAATTTAAAATGTCGCCGACTTTTAAAAATTTATTTTAGTTAATGTAAAAAAAATTATGTATTAATAAATAAAGAAAACCGATGACAAAATGCGTTTTTGTTTTTTTAATTATTTTATTATTATTATTATTATTAACCCGATGAATTTTCCTTTTCTTCCATTCCAAAATTTTTAAATTACTTTTTACAAAACTGAAACGAAAAAATATTATTATTATTAAACAAAATAATAAAAAACGAACGTTTTGTTAAATTGATGGGATAGTAGTAATAATAATAATGGTAACTTACTGTTTTTATCATTCTCGTGTTTTAAATCAATAAAAATAAAAAAAATACGAGCAAATGTATAAAAATTGAATATTCGTCATCGACCAAGTCTTTTAATTATAATAAATTACGAATATAATAAATAAATATATATGCGAGAATTAATTTTTTCGATTTTGCTTTATTAAAAAATTTTTCATTTTTTTTTTTTGTTGTGACGAAATAAATTAAAAGAGGACATCGAAGGGCTTTTACGACAGCAAATGACAAAAAAAATTTTTTTTGTTTTTGTTTTTGACTAATCAAGCGTAAAAACAAAGAAAAATTGTTTTATTCGAAATAAATATGGTGGAAATTAAAAAACAAAAAAAAATAATTAATTTGTTTCCCCGACCTTGATAAATTTTCATTTTTAAATTTTGCGCCATTTTTCGACCTTGAAAAAGTTAAATTTTTGAATTTAGCGCCATTTTTTAACCTTGATAAATTCAAAAAAAAAAAAACAAACAAACAAACAAACAAAAAAATTTTTCTTTGACCTTGATCAATTTAATTTTTAAATTTCGCGCCATTTTTTAACCTTGATAAAGTCAAAAAAAAAAAAAAAAACACTGATAAACAAATTTTTCTTTGACCTTGAGAAATTTAAATTTTTGAATTTCGCGCGCCTTTTCGAATATTCCCCGCCTGAAATAAAATTTGAAATTTAAAAAATACATAAAAAAATATTTTTTTTTTTACATTTATTTACATGCATATATTATTATCATTATCATTATTATTATTATTATTTTATTTTTATTTATTAATACATAAATTATTAATTTTACTCGTTTTTTTTTGTTTTTTTACTTTAAAAAAATCATATAAAAAAAAATTTTTTTTCGTTCACTTTTTAAACGTTTTTTTTTTTTTTTTAAATTAATTGTACTTATTATTGACGTCATCATCTTCGTCGTCTGCAAATTTAATATCAACAAAAACCCTGTAATAATCGTTTTTTTGTTGTTGTTGTTGTTCCAAATTGTTTAATTTTTCAACATTTTTACAATTCGATGATTCTTGATGATGATAATTTTTATCATCTTTATTCGTTTCCGTTTCCGGTTTCGTTTCTAATTTTTTATTTTCTTGTGAATTTTTCATTATTAATTTATTATTATTAATATTATTTTTAATAGGTTCTGGTTTTTGTTTTATTATTATTCCCTCATCATTTATTTCCGTCGGTTCTCTATCGTCGTTTCCGGTTTTTAAATTTTCTTTTTCGTTTTCTTTTTTTTCTAAAAATTTTTCTTTTTCCTCTCGTTCTTCTTCCTCTTTCTCTTCCACTTCCTCTTCTTCTTCTTCTTCCCAATCGACTAAAAGAAAATTTTATTTAGTTAAAAATTAAAAAAATTGATTAATAAAATTTTTTTTTGTACCTGGAGAAAATGGCGGAATCCAAACCAAATATGCCGGATCCATTCCAATGTATGAATCAGGGACGGCGGAAGCATTTTGTACGTTATAATCGTAATAATCCAATTCTAAATCCGCATCTTCTGATAAACTAAATTCCGAACCCGCCAATAGTTTTTCTAAATTTTTTTTATCTTTTTTAGCTTTTGGATTTCTATTGTTTATGCTTCTCACGCTCGACGAAGGAGAATAAAAATCCTATTGGAAAAATAAAAGGAGAAAAAATTTGTTTATTTTTTGTTATTTCCTGTTATTTCCGGAAACGGGGAAATTTTAATTTTAAAATTATTACGTTGGTCACAGTGGTTTCGCTTTTAATTGATGATGACGACAAACTTAAACGACGACGTTGTAAAAATTTTCTTATTCCTTGTTTGATGTTTAAATTGTCTAACGTCGTGGATGTTTTTTCTGTCGTCGTTTCCAACGATGATATCGATCGGCTTGTTTTATTGCTGTCTCGATCGAGATATGTTTGACTTTGACTGTTTTCATCTTCCGAACATCTTGTCGACATTTGTGATTTTCTATATTGTGAAGGACTAGAACATGGAGATCCGTCATCTTCATCCGGTTTTAATGTTTTTAAACTCGACGTTGGAGTTTTTTTATCGTCTCTTTAACAAACGAAAAAATTAATTTTCCCGACATTTTTTTTTCCTTTTTTTTTCTCACTTACTGTTGAGACTCCGACGATTCCGATATTTGTTCTTCTTCTTCCACGTCCGGTTCTTCTTCTCTTAATCGACTGTGTTTGTATTTATTCGAGGGTTTGAATCTTTGCAGTGATATTACTTCCGATAAAAGCGTGCTGTTTGATTTTGTCCAAATTCTTGCGGCCGCGAGATTTGCTTGAGAATCATCTGAAACAAACGGAAATACTTTTTTAATGTCGGTGTGATCGAAGAAGAGTGAGGGATCGATTGTCGAGTACGAACCGTTGGTCGATTCAGCGTCTTCTGCTGCTGCCGCCAACTGATACTTTCTATAACGTAATATGTATTGAATACCGAGACAACCGGAAACAAATATTACCACGACCGCGAACAAACCGATAAAACTGTGCATTAAAAACGAGCTCGTCGACGCGGTCGGCGCCACATCCATGTTTCGTAATATTTTACTTATGGAAAATCCAGGAGTTATAGATGAGATATTCGAAAATGGAATCGGAGTCTGATGTGCGTGAGCCAAAAATCCACCCCAACATTCTTGACCACCTGCTAATAATTCGTCGGAAAAAAATTCTACGAGAAGTTTCGAACCGGAAGAAACAACAGGAGCCGAAGACACGTGAGATCTAGATAATTCTCCGATGAGGGTAGCAGAACGAGAATCTCCATCTCGAATTTTTAACCATTGGGATCCACATGGAAATCTAAAGTGTTCGACGGAAAATTTAATTCTGTGTTCTTTATCCGCCTAAAAATTTTATTAAAAAATGAAAATTAATATTTGCTTTTTTTTTTTTTAAATTTAAATTTTCATTTTATTCAAGAGTTAACAACCTCAATTTGCCAAAATATCCTTCCGGGACAACTTTGAGATGATGTCGCTAATAATCTTCGAGGTTTTGCCGCACCCAAATGAATGACGCAACCGCAACGACAACCGGGACCGACTTCAGCAACAACTTCCGGTCTATTTGCCGGAAATTCTAAACCTTGATTTCCTGAATTCAATGAAGAATAACTTTGATAAAATTCGCAATCCCAATCCGTGTTTCCGCATTTCTCAGTTTCAACGGATGGACCCTAAAAAAAAAAAAATATTAATCAACGAAAACATTTTCAGACGTGGAATTAGAAAAATAATTTTTTTTTAAATAATAACACTCGACATGTCACGAACAAACGTTTGAATTATTTTTAAAAATATAATAACGTACCTCGCAAAATTTCGAACCGTATTTAGGTGGTGGTGAGTCACAATATCTAAATCTATTTCTGGTACCACTACCGCAAGTTGTCGTGCACGCAGACCATGGATTCCAAGGTCCCCAATTTCCCGGATTTGAATCTAATTTAAATATAATATATATATTTAAACTTGACACGACAAACACTTGTACGAAAAAAAAAAATATAATAAAACTTTATTTTTAGAAAATTCTTTAAAAAAAAAAAAAAATCTTGTTAAAAACTTTTTTCTTTTTCTCTTGTAAATTGCACGACGTAGAAAAAGAAAATAATAATAATAATAAGAGAAAAGGGGGAAAATTTTTCAAACAAACAAACAAACCAACCGTAAATCGGTAAAGTCGGTACGCAATCCATTCTGACGTCAGAAACGGCACCGGTTATGGCTTGAGAAACGTAAACGAAACAATATTCCAAATATTTTTCCATGAAATAATCACAATCGAATTGCAAATTATATTTTCCTTTGATTATCCTTTGTTCTGTGACGTAATGAAGAGTCGTCGGTGGTACGAGTGACGACACTTCCGCTCTCGCACGATAAAACAAACGAACTCTGTCGTTGTTTAATATGCATTTAGGATATTGAAAAAGGACAGAAACTCCACCGCCGTGTACGTCGCATGGAAATATACTCCTCGCATAAACATTAAATATGTATTGTTCGCTCCAAACGGCCTGGAAAAACAAAAAACATTTTTTTTTTAAATACGCGCGTCCCACGAATTCAAAAATTATTTATTTATTATTATTATTGCAAAAAAAATTGGTTTTCTACTGACACGAACCAAGTGAATAAAAATTTACCTTCAAGTGAGCGTTTTTATTATTTGTTTCGATTATGGTTCCCGTGTGTACGGATGATCTTAGAGATAAAAGAAAATATCCAGCAGTTCCAAATAATTCGCATCTTAAAACAACGACTCTTCTTTTTGGATAACCACGAATTTGTTCAGAATAAATTACCTAGAAAATAAAAACAAATTTCTCAATCGATTAATCGATGGAATCGTGTAATTAGAAAAAACAAAACAAAAGTTATTTTTTTTTTTTTACCCGTAATCAACACAAAAATTTTTTATTTCGTTTTTCGAATTTAAAAAAAAAAAATGGCGTGTTAAATTTCCGTTTCCGGTGTAAGAATTTTATCGTTTGGAACTGATTCATAAACATTTATTTTAAAAAAAAATAAAATAAAAGTTTCCCCGTGAAAACTTTTTCAAAAAAAAAAAATTTTTTTTGTAAAAGGTACGACAGCGTAAAAAAAAGGGGAGAAAGAGAAAACAAACGAAATTCCTTTTCCAAAAAAAAAAAAAAAAAACTTCCGTAATAAAATAATAATAATAACAACAACGTTTTGTAATAAAATAAATTTACTTATACATAATAATTATCGATAATTATTTTGGTAAAGGTGACCGAAATTGTTGTTTGTTGTTTTCGGCAAATCCCTTATCCTTTAATTATTTATTCGTGTTACAACAAACAAAACAATGAAAATGTTTAAAATTTTGCAATTAATCATTTTCGTTTTGATTATCGAACGGTTTTTTTTTTATTTCGCTGGAATCTCACTGGAACGCGACGACATAAATTATTACGTTCGATAAAATTTTGACCTTGAGAAAAAAAACCGTTTTTTTTTTTTTAATTCACCGGAAAATATACATTAAAAAAAAAATTTATTCGTTAAACCGGAAACGATGAAAAGTTTCCGGTTGGGAAAAAAAAAAAGGATTCGTACCTGATGATGAGATGAATTCCTATGAGAACATCCGATCAAAGAATGACCGCAAAAAATAAGATCCAACCACGTTTCTGGAACTGGAGAACCTTGTATTGGAGAACATTTAGTGGGTGTAAATTGGAGTAAAGCCGTTACGGACACGTTCGGATAAGTTTCTAAATGACGTGGAGATATCGAAAGAATCGACGGAGGCCATCGAACGTCTAAACCCACGATTGATAGATTCGATTCAACCTTGAAAAAAAAAAAATTATTTAAAAAAAAAAACGGAAAATCTTCTGCTCCGACATTTTCTCTCTCTTTCTTCCTACAAACCTCTTCTATTTTCAAATCCTCTTCGTTATACCTAAACAATTTATTATTATTATTTTTATTCGTTAAATTATTTAATTCTTTATTGTGTCCAGTTAGTCTAACTCCAAAATGTCCTCCACCGGTTATGATACCGCACGAAAAAAAAACTTTAACTACATTATTATTATCATCATCACCACCACCACCGACACCCTTTTGAGGTACATCCGCCGCGCTTATCACTTTCCATTTTTTTTCAACTTTTATTTTAGGTATGTCACTTTGTCCGGAATCGTTGATTACTTTCGACGAAGATGATGATGATGATGATTTAAGCGTTTTTCCATAATCGAAATGTTTATCGTTTGTTTGATTATTTAAAATAATCGAAGATCGATTTCTCGTATCGAGAAATTTAATTAATGCACTATTATGGAAGGAAGGTTCGATTTCGATATCCCTGACATCCGCTTTTCTTTTTTTTTTATTATTTTCACTTCTAACGTATTCAACTTGTAACAATTCTAATTGTACGTTTGTATCCGAATAATCCCGATGAAGTCCGATTATGATCACTTCTAAATCTCCATTTAATGCCGTGTAATTGTTCGGTAAACGTATTTCGTAAGTTAAACATATTTCTTGAACTGGAAAACAAAAAAAAAACAAAAAAATTTTTTTATTTTCATTTATTTATTCATTAAAATAAAAAAGAAAGAAATTTTATTAATAATTAGGATGATGATAATAATAATGAATAAGACGAAGGAGGAACCGGAAGTAATTCTGAGTTTGTGACACAATTCCTGAACCTGGTTACTCCACTGATGTTGTTTGACACCGGATGTAATTTTTGAAATAAGATGGAAGTTGAGGAAAATTGAAAAAAATTGATGTGTCGTGTGTTATTTAGGATGAATCCCATTGAAAAAGGATTTATTCCCGAGGGATTAAGGTAGGGAAATCTGGAATAAGTGTTGGAAAAATTCCAAACGACGAATCGTCGAAATTAAAAAAAAATATAATAATAATAGTAAATACTTAAAGTGAAATTTTTTTTAGCGAACGTTGGGAAAAAAAAATCATGGAAATTATTAGTGATTAAAATAACACGTAGGTGTGTTTGTTTGTTTGTTTGTATCAACAACTTGGCTGAAGTTTGTTAGGCAACAACTTCCTTTTTTTTCTTAATTTTCTCGAAAATTCTTATAAAAATTCAAATTTTTTTTTTTCATTTTAATTGTTTAAAAAAAAAAAACAATAAAAAATAAAACGAAATTAAGATTCCAATAAAAAAAAAAATTTTTTTATTTACGCTCTCCCCCCACCTACCCCCCTGTACCTCCCGCCCCCAACGAAAAAGAAAAAAAAAATTGTTTTTAAGTTCAAAGTTTCCTGTTTGTAATCAAACTTTTATTCAGTTAAAAAAAAAAAAAAGTTTTAAACAGTCCCAAGACAATTTTAAACTTTATCAAGATGGCCTAAAGTTATTTTTTAATAATAATAATAATAATAATAATAATAATAATAATAATAATAATAATAATAATAATTTTTTATTTTTATTTTTATGTAATGAAAAAAAGAAAAAAAAAACTCTAAGGAAAATAAAATTTTAAAAAAAGAATAAGAAAAAACCTGCGCCATCAATTACGACTGGAAAAAATAATAATAATAATAATAATGATGATGATGATGATTATGGCGGGAAAACTTTTTGAAATATAAAAAAAAAAATAAAAATAAACCATAAAGTAAAAAAAAAAATTTTCTTTCTTTTTTTTTACTCTATGACTTCTTTTATGAATTTTCTTAAAAAATTTTCTTTCTTTGATTTTCTACACCGAAAGAGCAAACAAACTAACTCATTCACTTCCGGTTGTTGTTATTGTTGTTGTGTTTGTTATTTATAATTATATATTTTATCTATTATCATTCTTTTTGTTAATAATAAATGTAAATAAATTCGAAATTTAATTTTTCAAAGTTTAAGGAGAAGAAAAACCAAGAAAAAAAAACGTTAAAATATATTTTTAATTTAATGGGGGAGGTAGATGACGTAATTAGATGACGTAAATAGATGAATAGATAGAATTATTATTATTATTATTATTATTATTATATTTTATATCAAATCTTGTTTTTTTTATCTATTTATTAAAACGCGCGTATTGAAAAAAAAAAATATGAAAAATTACGTTTTTTTTTTTTTTAAATTACGCAAACAATCGGAAATAATCGATTGACTTTTCCCCCCTTTTTTTTTTTAAATTTAAAAAAAAATCCTTTTTTCGAATCGAAAAATATAAAAAAAAAAAAGTTTAAAAGGTTGACTGGGCTGTAGCCAAAGTTGGTTGTTGTTTGTTAAAAGTTCAAGGTAAATTTTCTTATATCTCTTTTTTTCTCTTTGTTATCTAAAAAAAAAAAAAAAAAAAACTTTTCCTTCTTTTTTTTTTTTTGGGGGAGACGATGGAAAAGAGAGAGAGAGAGAGAGAGGGAGAGGAAGAGGGAGAGGAAAAAACCGAGGGGAAAAGTTGAAAAGAAAAAATATTTTTTTTTTAAAAAACTTTCGTTTTTTTTTTTAACTCTTGAGAATTTTCCGAGTGAAAATTTTTGATAAAAAAAATTTTCCTTTCCCCCTTTTATTTTCCTTTTTTTTTTTAATCCACTTTTTTTTGGCTCCCTTTAACTTAATTTTTTTTATGATTTTTATATGATACAATTTATAATAATAATAATAATAATAATAATAATAATAATTTTAATCGTAAAAAACGAGTTTCCTAATAATGATAATAAGAGATTTAAAAAAAAAAAAAAAGAAATTTATTTTTTTTTATTTTTATTTTTGAAATACGCGGTAAAGATTAAATTACTTTTTTTGGGGGGGGGGACGGAAAGGGAGGAGGAAGGGGGAGACGAAGGTGGTAAAAAGAGCATTAAACGTGACGAAATTTAATTTTTTTTTTTTTTGTTTAAATTTTTTTTTTTGTTTTTCATCCGACGCGATTATCACGTTCGTTTGTTCTAATCGAATTACACCGCCTTGTAAAATTCGTCATTTAATGACGTCATAAAATTTTTTTCGAAATACAATTTCGTATCTAGAATTCGATTCGAATAATTTTTTTTTTACTCGTCGTTTAAACACGTGATTAAATCCTTTTTTATTTTTTTTTATTTTTATTTTTTGTAATTTTAATTTTAATGTAAATTTAAACGGTTTAAAAAAAAAATTATTATTATTATTATTTAATTGCACTCTCGCGTAATAAAACGGATCGTAGATTATCATTATTATTATTATTATTATCATCATCATCATCGTCATTAAAATATACGTAAATGTATATAAATATATCGAGAGTAGATTTTTAAGGATTAAAACTTTTTTTTTTTTTTTATATTTTATAAAGTTCTAACGAAGATGACGATCTGGGAATTAATCCTTTTCTCTCTCTCTCTCTTTATCTATCTTTATCTTCTTTTCCTCCCACTCTCTCTCTCTCTCTTTCTTTCTTTATCTTCCTTTCCTCCCTCTCC